GATGTCAGTCGATTACCACGTAAATTCAAATGTTCCAGATGAGCCAATGTGATCTGATCGGTAGCCGGGTGGAGAAATTGCCTCAATCGCAGTTCATTGGCACTCCGTAAGCTGACCGCACTAGTGGAACTAAGGGTGGAGCGGGTCAAGACACACAAGCAGATGGAGAGAGGAAGAGAGGGGACGATCAAATAAACGAGCGACGCGCATGCACGAAAACAACTGTCTTGAACGTGTAAAGAAACATCTGCATCGGAACAAAGTCGACGATTCTTTTATGAACAGAGAGGAAAACAGAGCCAGGGGAACATAATGTTCACTCCCTTATGACATTGGAATCACCAGTGGTTCGACCAAGTTACATTAATGACAAAATATCAATCAAAATGTGGTTTCTGCCCTGGTAAACTATTTATAAAGCAACCTTTCGGAATCGAATGTCAGGATTATCTTGAAACCACCTAAAACTCTACGCCTAGCCAGTATTGTTCGTCCGGATACACTACCAAACTCGTGCAATGCGGCGTAGACGGCAGTTTCCGAACACCAACAGTCCATCTTTATCCGTTTTTTTTGGTAATGACCAAGCCTCTGCATGGTGTTGAGTATTTGCCAACAAATATGGGGTGGTGGTGGTGCAGTGGTTTAGTCGCTGTCACCGGCGTGCTTTGGACCCTATGGTCCAAGGTTCGAGCCCGCCACCGCCACCCGACTTTGGTGGTGAGCAGCTCTGCTGTCGTCCGGTTCAATACCACGCCTAACCTATCGGGGCCTTATGTGGTTCGCCACTCCAAGTTCCGGGGCTTAGTTTGCCGATTTCAACCACTGAACAGCAGGTGCTCGTGACTATGGGGATTACCCCGTCTGCTGTTCATCACACCTGGGTGTGTAATGAAAAAAATCACACAAGTACTGGAACAATAAGAACCCCATCCAGCGTCAAAAAATTGTACACAACATACCTCGCTAGTGGGGTGGCTGAAGCACACCGAGTGTGATTTGGTGAACCAAAGTCGTTTTTCATGGCCGATCGGGTACGCAGTGGACGATGAATCATTCGTGACTGATTACCCAAACCGGAATGGACCGGGACCATAGACTCGTCGTCCCCGAAACTGGTCAGGAGATTGTTGCTTAGATCCAGATGTACCATTGAGGCGGGGAAGTGATCATATCCGGGTAGAGTGCGAATACGATTGTGGCTGGCATCCAGATGCTCCAACCTCGGAGCCAACTGAGCCAATGTGGGTCTTGGACAAGCGGAGACTGACAGTGTTGGGAATGGGATAGGATAGTCCAGTGATTGGGGAATCAGACTGGTGATGCAGTTGTGCTGAATCCACAAATGAGCCAGATGTGATTTGGGTTGACAGATGAGATGGTCGAAATATGTGTGGTCTAAACAGAGATAACGAAAAGAAACATCGATTCATCTCTTCGGGAAACGTTTGGGGTTATTTTACAGGGAAACCTTAGTGTGCATTAGGCGGAATGTTTAGAACGACGCATGATGAAGAATAACCCACTAAGAAAAAACAATTAAGGTGATTTATAAAATGCAGATTATCGGTTTCGTACTGAACGCTGATCGTATTTGTTATGATCTGCTCATCGAGCTCAGTAAAGTATTTAATTCTCTCTGTTCGAAGAACCAAATTCAACTTTGTCTTTGACGAACCCCGGACCAAAGCAGGTGACAGAATCTCTGGTCCAGTACATGAACAGAGCGACATGGTGTGTGAAGATGATGTTTGGCAGATGAACAGTCAGAAGCAGACACCGCAACTTTGTCGCTTGTTGATTACATGAACTGTGGATCAATAAGCAGATTCTTTTTTGCATACATGTATTGGATACAGAATCAACGGGATAGAAATATTATTTCTGATTCACATTTCTTTCCACTAAACAAAACGAACGTCATTATATGGTCAAAATGAATTCTTTGCAGTCTCATGTACTGAAGAGCTAGAACATTCCTCCAACGAAGTCTAGGACAAAGACGAGCGATAATCATTACTCATAATGCCCAAGCAATGCGTTATGCATAAATGAACAACATAAAAGAATCTTTGCAACGACCCAATGGAACACTTGCATTCTACTAGTAAGTTTGATTCTTTACCGGGTCGATGAAACTGCAATTCCGCTAATATCCAGCAAGTTTTGTCACACCTATACCAGTGATCCATCATGAGAAAGAACACTATGGACCCGGTAACCCGCCCAATGTTATGGGCAAATTACCAAAGGTAGATATCACATTTGACAGTCATGATCCTAAAACGAAAACCCCAAAATAAACAGAATTTCCTGAAATCGATCCACGGAAACTACATGACATCTGACCTCGTTCGGGTCGAAAAAATTGGAAACCACACATCAAGACATTATTCTGACAAACGAGGAAAAGAAATGCAGCTGAGGTGAAAATTACGAATTCAGAGCCATTACCTAGAATATAAGGCAGAGACCATCATTTCGGTGAGGTGCCGCAAAACGTTGCAATCAGAATAGGGGAACTGATCGTATTGAAAAAACACAACTACTTCACAGACCAGCGCAGTACCCTGAATTCAATTTAATATTTGCAAACTCCGATACAGATAGAAAAATTCCATTTCGCCTGTTCGCCGAGCTTGGCAACTTGTTTGCAAACGTTTTATCTCCAGCCGAGGTGATATCATCAGTGCTTGTGAAGTGGCCACTTCACAAGCACCGATGATGTCACCCGAGCTACGAAAACCGATTTTCAATATTTTGTCAAGATAGAAAAATTTAAGTCAACATCGCCTCACGACTCCCAGAGCAAAGATAATCACAAACATGCATGTGATAAAGTCCTTGTAACTTTTGATCAAGCACAAAACTATAACCTTATTCTGACCAAGAAAAAATACAAACAACCCTTCCTCACCACTGTGCTCACTAGTCCCAAAGGGATGTGATCAAGTCAAAGCCTTTCTTCGTAAATCCACACGATACAACCGAATTGGGTCACACGCCAGTGCAGCGTCACCGAAAGGTAGTCGGTCATGCAGAGAAATATTTTTGGGGTCCTCTATACAGACTAAATTTGTCCAGCATTCGTCTTAGTGTAGGTTCCGATACGAGAAAGACACATTAGGTTTAAAAATGATGAAGTCCGAAAGCCATTAACCTGTAAAAATCGAGAGAGACAGTGACGCGCACTGGATGCGAACTGATCGCCATTCATGAAAATAAGATGATCTTATTGCATATCGAAGTACGCAGGGAAATGTGTGCACTATCCTAGGCAGCGAGCAATTCGCTCGTTGCCAAAACTTACACGACACTTGGCCGAGAAAGATCCCAAAGATATTGTTACACTACTCACAAGTAGGCACAATATGCGAACAAAATTTGTTCATATGTTGTGGAGGTTGTTGGGATGTCTCAAGGACGGAACAACGTGCAGTGTACTTCCCGCCGTCCCTCCCCAGTTTCGTATTTCCATGCTTCTTCGTGCTGTACACGTCGAAAATCACCTTGTGATGGCAATAGTCATTATTATTCTAGCCATATTGCAGTGAATAATGAAATCCACTCTCTGATTTTAAAATACCTGAGGAGAAACTGGTGATATTGTGGTTTAATTCACATCGGAGATACTAAGGTGCGATGGTGCAGAGTAGCACGAGATATGCTCGCCTGAGGAACGACAGGATAGAAAGCAACGGACGGTGTGCTTACAGTCGTTCAAAGACTGCTTTGTGTAAATTGGAGATTCATATAGGATGGGAAGAATTCCCCCGTTCTATTCCGATGGTGATGAATAACAATGTCAGGGGGGGTATATTACGTGATGGGGAAATGATCCACGATGTTCGCTGTTGAATAAAACTGACAAACAGTCCGAGAGCACAAATTTATCTGACAGACAAATAGAACAACGCACCTTTTCGTTTTGCACTATCCACAGATTCCTGACGAGTGACAGGGTCCGGATCCGGGCAAGAGACTTTAACCGGTTCCAAATGGGCACTAATGCATTCCACACTGGCTGCGTGTAGCTTGTTCGGGTGAGTTGTATAGACGGGTAATTGTTCGAACTCCAAGCGGACACGATCGGAAGACAATTTGTGCTGGACAGAAAGATGATGAAGTAAACCGAATAAATGAGAAGTAGTAACTGGCTTTTGAGTAAATCGTTCAAACTACAGCAAGTGATGGTAAAAACAATGAGGAATAAAGCGGAGATTTGCATTTATTTGCATTTTTGGTGAAACAGGGCTGTGTGTGTGGCTGTGCAAGAGTGTAAAACGGAATGTAAAAGCAGATTACACGGGGGAGGGGGAGCACACGTCTGAATTTCGGGTCGCTAGACTAGCTGTTCACCGAAATCGGATTGAGACGTGGAGTAAATGGACCCAATCAAACGACCATGGAACACTCCATGGATAATCTGGAGGCTAGTGTCCAATCGATCGGTCTATTTAAACTTCAAGCTGATATGAGAAGTTCAATGTGTGAAATACACATCGCCGTTGTCTATCCGTCGGGTAATCGCGTTCTGAAGCCAGTATACTAGTGTCTTGTTTTCTCTAAGGGATGTTCCAATATCTCAAGATCAGTTCCTATGGTACCAATCGAGGTATATTGAGCAGCTTAGACGTTTGACCCCGTCCAAAGGGTGCTTGATTCGATGAAGTGAACACCGTCTCCCAACAGATATCGGTTTTCACACACCACCCTGTTGCCTTGTGAGTCAGGCTTTGGTTAACCGGTTGTGAATATCTTAAGAA